GCGCCATAAAGGTTGTAAATTTGTTGTAAATATGATGTAAGTGTCCAAAATGATGTAAATTTGATGKAAATSAYTYMCATCAAATTTACATCATTTTGGACACTTACATCATATATACATCAAATTTACAACCTTTAAAGCGCGCGATTTTTTCCAGTGCAAGGGACCGTCGCGGCAGTGAAAACGTACCTCTTAGTTTGTTCTTGTCCTTTATTTTTTTGCTCTGCACTGGTTTAACTCACTGGACTGACTAACTATTATTATTCTTACATTGCTTGATGTACGTTTTACAAAATTAGACGAAACCCAAATAATAATCTGATATTAACTAAAACAATAACCAATTATGGCATAACTCCATACTGACGGGAATTCCCCGTTTATGAAGACCTTGGCTTATGCTACAACTATCGATCACGTGAACATTGTCTAAACTGCGTCATGAACTTAAACTAAAGTAATTACTTATAAAAATACAATAATAATGATATTTGAACATTTCACAATCATTCTGTAACTTCAATATTGATCTTAAGCCTACAACATAAAAATTGCTGGACATYAATAAAGCTACTGGTAATTCAAAACTATTTTTCCTGGTAATCTAAAACTACAGGTACATGACTTGACATATTTCAATTTCTAGACCAAACTATAAAACTGCTGATGAATCACTTAAAACTGAGATCTACTATTAACTTATTAACAKTGTATTCACTAAATGTCAGGGAGACGTAGTCTAACATTATACACTGGAAAAACGTAAGGTTCGAGTATTTTCAGAAACCACCCCACCTCAAACTTTGCATGGTGAATGGTAGTCAAATGCAAGTAAACAAATGGGCATTATTTAGTCGTTCTACTYTAAGGCAGTCACGTGACATTCGTCGAAAGATCGAAAATGCCGGGGGCCAAATTTGGTCATTTTTGATTGCGAAAAAGTACTAAGTTTCAGCAGGTCTCTTGCGTCCGTTCTTTTAAACCTTTGCAAATCTAATTTCATAGCCATCTAGATAATTATCTTAACTATGACACTAGCTATTTTATTTTCATAGAAACTGCATTTTTTGGAGTATAATGATTTTTAGGTTCATGCTATTTTCATGTAGTTTGTCGTGATTATTGGCATTTCCAAAAAAACATTTCTCATACAAGAGTTCCGATTTCAAAATAGAAAACTACACGCAAATGTACTGGAAGGATAGTTCTTTCAAAAACGTGAAAAACATTTGAGGGCACTCTCCATTCTGACATGCTTCCCCAAAAAATGTTTTTTAAAAAGCTCAATATTTGCCTATTTCGATTTGCCATCAATGCCTCTGCTGATTTTGAAGTCTTCGATTCATCGGGTTTTTAGAATGTCAAGTTAAACCCGTGGGGTAGGGGGGATGCGATTTACAGAATCACTACGAAGTTGTTTACATCGAAATGTTTAGCCAATAAAACCGTTCTTACGCTGATTGTGTACTTTAAAGCCTTTTGCATTGTTTTTCCGTGGGTTAGCTGAAAGATTTCAATTTTAATATAATTTTTGCACACACATTTTGATCATCCCGGATCAAGCGGTAAGTTTGTCGATTTTGGTTTTTGTGCATAGTTAAAGGCGGTATTTTGATGTCAGAATGGAGAGTGACCTCAAATGTTTTTCACGTTTTTGAAAGAACTATCCTTCCAGTACATTTGCGTGTAGTTTTCTATACTCTTGTATGAGAAATGTTTTTTTGGAAATGCCAATAATCACGACTTAGCAAACTACATGAAAATAGCATGAACCTAAAAAATCATTATACTCCAAAAAATGCAGTTTCTATGAAAATAAAATAGCTAGTGTCATAGTTAAGATAATTATATGGCTATGAAATTAGATTAATTGCAACAGCTTTAAAAGAACGGACGCAAGAGACCTGCAAACTTAGTACTTTTTCGCAATCAAAAATGACCAAATTTGGCCCCAGGCATTTTCGATCTTTCGACGAATGTCACGTGACCGCCTTAAAGTAGAACGACTAAATAATGCCTATTTGTTTACTTGCATATGACTACCATTCACCATGCAAAGTTTGAGGTGGGGTTGTATCGGACCATTTCTGAAAATACTCGAACCTTACGTGGAACGGCTCTTAAAGGTTGTAAATATGATGTAAGGGACCAAAATTCTGTAAATTTAATGGAAATMATTTACATCAAATTTACAGAATTTTGGACACATCATGTTTACATCAAATTTACAACTTTTAAAGCGCGCGATTTTTTCCAGCATCGCAACTATCAATGTTTTATTGAAGTTGTCYCTTAAGGTTGATGATTTCTCTGTTGTCAGAATGCCATATCTCTCATTCAAAAACTCATGCATAATTAATGAGTTCTTAGGCTAATAGGATGAGCCCATTTGGTCACATGCATGGACTTTTAATATCTGATAAAAACTCCTCATTAGTATTCTTTATATAAAGAATACTAATAAGGGTGACCTTTATCAGATATAAAGATCCATGACCCTAGCAAAGGTCTCAGGTTTGATACCTGATCAATGACCAATGCAGGATGTCAACCGTTTGCACTAAACAGCCAACAGGACTTCTATTTTACTTTATGCGTATTCAATGTGGGATGGCAAGAGTGCATTGTACAGTGACTCGCGCATGATCAAATTGCTCCATTTATCTCAAAATTTATTTTTACGGCAATTTCTCCAAGAATTTTAACGGATTTGAGTTTCAAACTAGTGTTGGAGTTTTTGAAGCCGTTTAAAACACTCGAGACTCTCTCGTGTTTTAAACTATACATAGTTTCCTATCCTAAACTAAAAAATGGAAGAGATTCATCCATGCGTAAATACCAGTGAGTTTCTACCTTGGCCTTATGAATCCAATAACCTGTTTTCATGCAATGACGTATCACTTCTTGCTTTTTAAAACCAAATGGAAAACACAAAGCTCAACATACAATCAATATGTTATGACGACAGCTCCAAACAAATATGTTTATTCAGCTTATTTGGCTTCTTGTGAGCTGTGCTTTACTTTCTGGTRCTGGTAAGTTAAACTAAAGCTTCATTTTTATGTGTTTGACAGTTGGTGAAGATYTTCAGGTGGAATATAAAAAATTGCACTTSAACGCTTTGTACCTTAACAAAGCGGAGGGTAGAATATACAAATTGAGTAACACTATTTATCACGGTTAAACGGCAATGGCTGCGCTAAAGGGTTTAATAGATGTTTTTGTCTGTTGGATGCGGTTAGATCTGTAACAGTTTTTAGAAATGTAAACGAGCTCAAAATCAGAAAATCGCAAGCCATATCTATGGAAGAAGAGCATTTATCTTCGAGTATATTTTTGATTCGAAGTCTTCAACGAGCACATCATCAATTATGTAACTGGTCCTCAAAGACGATTCTAACCGGAAAAGGACTTCGAGATCATTCAAGATTGGAATGACATTTCTTGACGAATCAGGGAACGTTTCTTTGGGACTACTCTTCAAAATTTCCAACAGCATGCACATATTTATATAGTGTTCATATGGAATTCCASCAAAGTACGGTATTAACGACASTTGAGGGCTTGTTGTACTACTATGATAYCCTTTTTACATGCCGGGTAACTACTGTACGTGCACCGTCAGCATCAGACTTCTGTTGAACCGGATCGCTAAGGATTAAACCTCTCCGCCCCCTCACTCATCCGTAATGAACTAAGTTCAATCGTGCCTTCCTTTTTATTGTTAYTTACGGGTAGTGTCTGTTTTACTTATGCCCAGGCTACGCAGGCGTGAGGTATATATATGAATAAGAAGACTGCATGGAATGGMAAAGTTATAGTGCTTAGAAGGAGGCAATTCCTGGAGAAAGACTATAACTTTCTTTCATTTCTATATCGCGTCTATCATAGTGTCATGCGGTCTTCATATTCATATCTTTACATTATTCTATTATCGCAACCTAACATCTATTTCACCCCGACCTGCTCCCAGTCTGGCCTTGTAGCTCAGCTGGTGGAGCATCGGTAGTACAAATCCGTGGGTTCGAATCCAAGCGAGGTCGGAAATTAATTTTTCCGAATTTATTCCTAAAGGCCCGTTTACACTTGCGATTTTTGCAGCGCGATAATCGCTACTTTGCTATAGCGCAACTAAGACCCTGTTTACATGAGATAGGGTGCCGCTAGTGGTAGGGCCAAATCCTTTGTTTTAAATCCTCCAGGGAAAAGAAAACAAAAGAGCTAGCCATACCACGTTAGAGGCACCCTATCTCATGTAAACAGGGTCTTAAAAATCGAACGTAATAAACAGCCCTGCGAAGTTGTAGTTAATTTTCAAGCATGTTCGAAAACGCAGGCGATAGTCGCGCGACGATCACTGGGAGAATCGATCACTGCAAAAATCGCAAGAAAGTGTAAACGGGCCTTAATGATCTTTCTCCAGGAATTGCCTCTTCTAAGCACTATAACTTTCTTTCATTTCTATATGAGGTATAYATAAAGTGCCGCGCGACAAAATCGAACTTTGTTGATAAACATAGACTGCGTCAGGTGCAGCCCTACTTATTAGTTGACGAAAGAATATTATTTGACCAGCAGCTAGTACATTGTAAAGTGCACTTTTTAACATTTTTTTAAGCGTGTGCAAATTGAATTGTATTTTTACTCTTATGTAAGGGCACATTTGGTGGGTACAATCACGTCGAANTTGCGCAAACGAATAAGACAAGAAGACTACATCAACGAATATCTAATTAACTTTAGTCCAGTATCAAAGGTTTAGTTATTATTGATCGTTTTCAACCATTACCATGTGAAATTCAAAATATAAAAGACCGGCGGCCACGTTGAAGGAATGAACAGTAGATACTATTGAAAAACCCTTTGTTTAAGGTCCTCCAAGATGGCCGCCGTGACGTAACTTGAATTGAAAACGAAGATATCACATATTTGATCCTTCGCTAAGAAGCCTCTACTCAAGATCATAGATCTGAATTAATCTAGTTTTAATAATACCATAGTTGCCTTGGTCCATAATGGCGTGCTTCAACATAACAAGGTTTACAGCAAGCGTCAAGTAACTACTGCAAAACCTCAGGTTTACTCAGGCCCATATCCCTGTATAGACAAGAGCGGAAACCCCGTCCTGGTAGGTAAAAAAATCGTTGTTGAGGCTGTGTTTTTCGTAAAATAAGGGCAAGTTTGAACAGTCGTGGCAGTYACTTAAGATTTTATGATTTAATTCTATTTGACGGTTRAAATACAACACGTTTTGGATTATTTTAAATTAAGACATTTTCTTTTATGGTCAACCAAATCATGGCAAATGGCATCGTCTACAGCGGTAGTTGTATTCCCCGTCCCTTCGGGAGGACGATCGAAGTCTATTTTATTGGGTTTCTGCACGCTGTGTGCACTTACGGCCTCGCTTATGACGAGAGTCTGCAAGTAGCTATAACCTAAAAGTATCACTTTAAACGTTCTAAAAGGTTTTATTTCGTCTAAAATGTTGCAAAAAGACCGAGAGTTTTGACATCCGAATTTATATTCAACATAAACCCCCCGCTATTTCCAMGAGAATCTTTTTTACGCTAACTTGCTCTTAAAAAAAMTCTTAGTCGGTAAGGATTGTCAGGAATATCTATAAAACGACTCTACACCCAGTTTTTATCAAGYGAACTAATCTAACTTTTTATGTTTGATAGCCGCCATATTTAGGTGGTCCAGCATTTTGGTATACTGATGACAAATGTCACATAAGTGTTTGTCCAGGCCCTCTGGTGATCACTAGAAGTTTAGGATGTTTTCTGAAAGGAGTCCAGTGCCCACAGGTACGCCAAACGATGAAAGTTCAAAATCATTGAATATCTTTCAGAACTCAAAGTAGTTTGTGTACTATTGCATTTCGGGAATGCGCTGTCACTATGCTAAKGATTAGTTTCTGTAATTAAAAACCCGGAAAGTCAAGGTACACGAATATGTTTCGATAGTTGGTTCCAAACCCAAGGGTGCCTAAAGGTTTAAAAATATATAAATACGCAGAGGCAGAAGTACATTATGGTTATAACCATGTTCTTCTGGCAGAGGTCATCTGAAACAAATTTCATTTTCCGCAGTCATTATTTATCATTAAGTTAGTCATCCCCATTGTAACTTTTTGGATCCTCCAATAAATTAACTTGATTGGTTACTTTGACAACCATGCCGGGCATTTCCCTTAGAGGCCCTGAAGTCTAGGCTTAGTTCCGAGCTAGCCTGCGTAGACAGTCGTTCCAAACTTTATAGGAGCGGCTAGGAACGCCTGGCTATGCAGGCTAAGTTCAGCTTTCGGCTTTCGTGCGCGCCCGCGGTTCTTTAAGGGTAAATTCTTGATGATATCAGCATAGTAATGATTGAAATAACTTTTCACAGTTGAAAAGTGTTAAAACTGGTACACTACACTTTAATCTTCTTTGAAGATWTCTTTCCTTAGTCTTGCATCAACTTCATGGCCAGAAATTCCGGACATTTGAGTCCGAGACGAGTCAGCGGGTTTTCCCACCAAAATAGAGCTTTCTACAAGTTCCCTTGACAGCCTTGAGGTTTGAACTTTTGAAGATCAAATTTTCTACTCTTGTGCAACGATCCTTTATCTTAATACAATACTAGGCTAAAATTGAAACGTTCAAAACATCGACAAACGAGTATTGGGATAGCACGCCCTGATCCTTGAGTTCATTAGTGGTTTGTGAGGTGCTCGTTTGGAATGTTCATAGTGTAAATAATATTATTTGCTGGAACACACGTTTCCCTCAGGTATTTTAAACAATGATCATCAGTTGATATTGTGATCTTTTGTTTATACTTGTACATTTCTAAGGAATTTCAAAGGTCTGGCATTGTTTACACTAAATAGCGTAGACTTGATCTGTCGTTCGTATCTCCCGCTATTTACCACTGCCCGCAATGCGCCAGTAAAAACCGCCAAAATTAAAGCAGTCCCAGTATCAAAGCCACGTTTCTAAGGTTTATTTTGGTACCAAACATGGCGAATAAAATGAAAAGAAAATGGAAGATCAGGCCAAGTATTCGCGTGAAACACGCGTCTTCGCCAGCCATTTCAGCGTCAAGTTAGTGTTTTCAAATTGTACGATTTCTAGTACCAAAAAGGACGCTGTTGATCGTCTTCAAAATAGCTGAAAATCGCTGTGTTCCTACCTCGATATGTGGACTTTGAGAAATGATCTATGGAATATCAGTGACATGTAAAGGAACACGATCAGCTACGGTGAAATTTCGCTTCTTCTCGAATTTTCACCATGAGATACAAGGCCAAAAGGAGACGACGAAAGGAAAATAAATTGTCAAAAAGGACGCTCTTAACAATATTGGATTTATTTGGATTTCCTACAGTGGAATCAAGAATAGTTTCCCTCTACGAATTCATCTATGGAATTTTTCCAGTTAAAACAGATGAAATGTTATTCTCCAATATTTTTTTATGCATTTATGCGAAGTACCGCTGCGATTACGGGCTCAAATATCCGGATTTTCTGGCCATGGCTTTCAAGCCGAAATGCAGCGACATAAGATTAAATAAATGAATTGGCGATATGTTAACGATTAGCAATAATAGTATACGGATGTAGTCATTGTTGAGACATTTACATCTATATTCCGTTTCTTAGCAAAAGACGCAATGACGTTTGTTTTATTTTTAGGGAAGCTATCTTGAAGTTCCTCCAAAGCCTCAATCACAGGGAGAATGCTGTGTTTGCAAGCCAAGTAAGTATTCTACGCTACCGCGCTTATAAAACCAGCTAAAGGGAAGTGATACTATGCTGATTGTTCATTTTTCAACCCACATAAACGATATCAAGTAAAGAATTTAAAGAAAAGGGTATGTTAATTTAAGAAATACATGCTACTTTTCCAAATTTGAATGCTACTGCCTTAGAAGTACTGTTACCAAATGTATTGCATTTCTGTAATAGTGCATCCCTCTGGGAAAGTTAGACGAACTATTTTTGCAAATTTTACAGGATCTGTCATCCAAAGTAATAAAACCAGTCTTCAACAAGTCATTGCAAAAACAGGCCCAGGATGTCTTGAACAGAGTTYACAGAAGGCTGCGGAACACTGACAAGCGTTCCACTAAGAAGATTATATCGGAAGTGACGATTGATTGATTGATTTTCAAATAAACATAACATTCTTTTGCAAAACCGGCCGGGCATATTTTGGATACCACTGAYCATATGAAAAACGAGCAGAAGCCCTTTATCATATGGTTTACAGCCCTTTTGTCAGTTCTTCTATACTTTTAGAACTCATTTACAGGCATGACATCGAGGAATAATAAAGTGCAAGATAACGTTTGATATTTCGGAGTTTCTAAACTCAGGCAGCCTGACGTTTAGTTCCAGAATTAAACGTCAGGTAGTCGATTTGTTTTGAAAATTTCTGGTAATTTCAATTAAAACAAAAAGGGAAATTCAATGCCCGAAATAATACTGTTCGACAAGTTTGTATAGTCACAAGCACGGCACTTTGAGATGTTTCGATGCCTGACGTTTAGTCACAACTAGGCGTCAAACTGTAGATTCAATATTTTTTCCTTCGCTGTGCGCGCATCGTAATGGCTCTCAACTTACAAAATGCCAGTCACAATAAATTTTTACTACGATAGATGAAATATGCCTAAATAAGAAACAAAAACATCTTTTTACAATCTCAATAATAACCTTGTGGTACTATTTATTTCTRAGCTTTTCTTTCATTGTTGCTAATCTTTTGTGTGGCATGATGTCTCTCGAAAATGGCAAAACCATGGCTCTCTGAACACAGGCAACCCAAACTAAGCATTTGACTAAGCTGATTTAGCGATATCTATAATGCATATAAATATGAACTTTTTGAAAGAAAAAAATAGTTTTGAAAACTTTTGTCTTACCTTTTGATGTTGTTTTATTTGAGGCGCACTTTGTCGTTTTTCTTTGATATCTCCCCCTCTTTACTTATATATAGTATATATACTTATATAGTATAGTACAGCCTTTTGCACAAATTATGAGACATTTATATATATATAAATATACCTAACCAAATATCAAAAACACCCAAGAAATTATGGGATACCGTCGCTGATATTTTGTCTGTAACAACCTGATGCTAGGCAATCATGACAAAATATCAGCGACGGTATCCCATAATTTCTTAGGTGTTTTTGATATTTGGTGAGGTATATTTATATATATAAAAATGTCTCATAATTTGTGCAAAAGGCTGTACATGTATACTGTATAGTATAGTATAGTGATATAAGTAAAGAGCCAGGGGGAGAAAGAAAAAACGGCAAATTACGCCTCAATTCGTAAATAAAACCACATCAAAAGGTAAAACAAAAGTTTTTTACTAATTTTTTCTCTTCTAATTTTTTCTTTTCATTACATGCATTAATGCTAAATCAGCTAGTCAAAGGCTTAGCTTGGGCTGCCTGTGCTCTGAATAGGCGATTTTTTTTTCTCGCCGTTTCTCCAATGTAGTTCTTACCACATGATTGACATTCAATTTCATATGTCACGTTCTGCATGGTCCTACGCCCCCAGTTCTTAATAAAGCGAAACTGGTCTCAGTAAAATTACTGGTTTTATTTTGCTTGTGAAAGACAGAAGAACAAAAGTTAAAATTTAGATATTTACACAACATGAGGCTCTTCCGACTTTCTTATGTAATGCACTGCTCGCGCTCTTTGCAAATTGCGGGTTACCTGTGGTATTACGTCAATGATCCCTTGCCTCGAGGGATCACAACCTCGTTCCCAGGGCTACTCTGCTCGCTTTTTTCAAAATGGGCGCAGAGTAGCCCTGGGAACGAGGTTGGAGGGATCAAAGTTAATAGAGAGCTTTTAAAAGCATGACGTTCACGGCAAACGACGAAAAAGATTACGTGATCTACTTTTTAGGGGTTTTCCGTTACAGTTTCAACGCGAAAGTGGTTTATTTTGAGTTTTCCTACCAGGTTTTCCATCATAAATCGTGTAAAGTCGCTCTTTCAAATGACTACCAAAATCACAAGGTCAGGCACGAAATTTAGGTCATTGGTTGAGCTCTACCGTTAGCCGTTTCGGTTTGACGTTGATGCTTAAACTATCTAATGCCATTTTTAACAACGACAAGCTTGGGCTACCTGTGGCCGATTAGTGGCCTGAAAACGAACTTGGGCTCAACCTCGTCCCCAGGGCCATCTCGGCCGACTCCTTTTCAAGATGGCGGTCGTCGGGGAGATGACCCTGGCGTTGGCTGAACTAAGCCGCTTTCTGATTGGCTATTCAAAATGCCTTTTCTTATATCACTCATTATTGGCTGTTTATGTTCGTCTATAGGTCGGGCGGGATGTGTTCGACACTGTCAGTATGTCCGGATAATAACCGTTAGGTCTTTGATCGATTATTGATTTAACCGTTACAATGCGTTCATTGTTTTTATTCAAATATTCCCGAAATTTAATCAAGGTACGTTTTGTCGATTAAAAAGCAACGATATTCTTTGGAATTCTTGTCAGTTGTCCTCTTATGTCTCTTTTGTCCAATGCGTGGTTTTGAGATGCCAACTACTCGTGTAAGAAATTTAACTTGACGGATATATTTAGCGATAGCATTCGATGTTATAGAAGTCTTCTACTCGCCGATTTCTGCAGTGAACGGATCCCTCAAGAATTCTAGTCGTCGGGGAGATGACCCTGGCGTTGGCTGAACTAAGCCACTTTCTGATTGGCTATTCAAAATGCCTTTTCTTATATCACTCATTATTGGCTGTTTATGTTCGTCTATAGGTCGGGATGTGTTCGACACTGTCGGTATGTCCGGATAACCGTTAGGTCTTTGATCGGTTATTGATTTACCACATGATTGACATTCAATTTCATATGTCACGTTCTGCGTTCTGTATGGTCCTACGTGGTCTCCGTAAAATTACTGGTTAATATTAATATTTGAGAAAATTCTACCAAGAATAGCGAAAGAATGGGRTCTTTTGTTTACAACGTGCTTGTTTTTAAGCGAAAATAATGTCTTATTTGGAAWTGAGAGGCGATCTTCCACACAGGACACGAACGGCTGAACATTTTATGAAACCACACCATATCATGAAAAGTCAAATTTCTCAACAGTGAGATCAAAAAAGCCAACCATACCTGGTGTATTTTGTCACAGGGAGTCATGAAACTGGATAAACATGTTAAAATTTATAAAGACTGAAATGATCAAGATCTAATGGGTCTGAGATTATGCGATTCACGTTAGATGGCATGTTTTTGTATAGATGACAAGCAAACAGAAATTTCTTGGTAATTTATAAACGAAGCGAGTTGAAATCCAAGATTTACATTGTCAGAAGTTGTATTAATTACCTGATGCAATTTGGCCGACATCAATATGGAAGTTGTTTGTGAAGTTTCATCATGAA